TCTCGTTTTGGAATTTGCCAGTCGCTGCAGACGTTACACTCAATCTCCTTTCATTTTTGTGGGTGTTGGAAGCAAGGAGAATGGCAAGAAACAAGCAGAAGAAACTTGTAGACAGAGAGGAAATGAGAGGCATTTGAATTGAAGCAAAGAAACGTTGGAGGAATAACAAGGCGAAAGCCAAATGTCTAAAGAATGCTGTTGAGCTTGCTTGCCAGTCAGAAGTTAAGCCTGCAGTTGTTACCGAAGCAGTGTGGCCGTCCATGTGCTGTCAGTTTCCCAAGCAAGAGCAAGGTTTTGCTGAGCCAAAACTGGCCAAGCATTGTAAGGGAAAGAAAAGCCCAGTCGTGGTAGATGCTCTTGGATCAACCTCCAAAACCAAGTAATCGGAGGAGGCTTGAACCCGGATATCCGAACCATTGAAAGAGATAAATCCTTCGAAGGTAGGGAGACCATAAATTTTTTTGGGCTGTGAATCTTTTCGCACATGTTACCTGGACTACTACAGAGGGATTTCAGTAGCAGTAAAAGAATTTAAGCCTCGGCAGCCAAGGTCACGGGATGAGACAAAGCAAGAAGTTCTCAGAGAGGCTCAAATGATTGGCCAGCTCGGTGACCACTGTGGACTGTCTTTACTGTTTGGAGTTATCACTAAATCATGGCCGCTGTGACTAACAACTCAGTTCCATGGCCAGAACAACTCTTGTTCTACATTGCACAAGGTTATCAAAAAGGGGACACTTGACAAGCGTTCTTGGTTAGGAATTCTGAAAAAAATAATGGAAGCTCTCAATCTTATGCGCAAAGCCGTTGTTCATAATGATGTCAAATCAAACAATGTTGTGCTGAAAAAACCGGGAAAACAATGGAATCCCATAATTATTGATTTTGGGAAAGCATGATGCATTGCCGACCCAAAACCATTGATGGATTTGTCACCTACCGCACAAGAAGAATACTGGCGGTCTTACCCACGTATCACGCCAGAAATTGTTAGTGAAAAAGGACAGCAAAGTGTGGCGTCTGATGTCTTTTCTTTCGGAAAGATTGCGCTGAAAATTGTAAATTTATTGCCTAATGCAACAGCGCTTTCTCTGAAAGTGGCAAGGAAATTAACCTCTGATGATCCAGCAGAGCACCCATCATTAAATGAATTTGCTGCTGTTCTTTAGACACAGGACTTTCAATCAATCGTTACACATTATTATACTGCGAACAATTCCAGCCGATTAGCATGAATTGACAAATTTTCATTTTTTCCATAACTCGCTTTCAGTATTATTAGTCTATTAGAACTGTCAAGACTGATGAACGATGGTATATTTCAATATGAGGACATGAATTGTTTCCAAGTGGTGTTTTACAATACAATAAATACCCTCAGCACACAAACAAATTTATGCTGTCTTTGATGATGTGTATTTGCTTAAATTTATCGTGATTTGTTTAATGTTAAGTTAGTCTTTGAAACAGGGGAAGGTGCTCAATTGCAAGAAAAGTGTGAATGGCCGGCTATTGCCAAAAAACTTTTCACACGAACTAGACGAGAATCCTCACGCTGTGGTTTTATCACTTACACTGCGTGTGCTTGTGGGAATTTATCAATGCATAAGGTGTTACAGAAAATCCCATTAACTAATTATATCAATGATATTCTTGGTCAGGAGAATGTGAGAACTGCATTCTTATGTTACAGGTCTTAATTGGTTGACGGTAGATTCAATGTACCATCAGACTAATTTGCATTTTTTTTTTTCATGCCTTAAAGCTCATTATGTTTTATTAAATAAGGTCTCCATAATTTGACTCTCCTGTATGTATTTTTTCTAATTTCTTAATCCTGTCACATGTAAAAAATGTAATCAAGTGGTGGCCTTATCTATTACATGTGCAAATACGCTCATTTTAAAATAAACATATACATGAAAGAACAACATTGGTTGCTTTCAAATTTAAACTTTCAGGAACCTATTGGTGGGTTAGGCAAAATATGGTTGCTGTGACTTTTAATTGAGGTTTGAAATGGCCAGAAGAGATTTTCTTTCTCCTTTTAAATAAAGTACCAATAATTTGGCCTGATCTTTACTCTAGTTTCATCTGTTTGATAAAGACACAGAAGAGCCAATTTCCATTAGTTCTGAAGAATCTCAGGAGGATTCACTGCCAAGTGCATCCACTTTACCAGACAAATTGAAGAAGAA